TGAGAAGAATGCAGCACGGGCGAGAATACTGCAACACCACAAGAGATTGAATGTGGAGCGATACAGACAAGCGCACAACAGACAAAACTCGGTTTTCAGAAGGAAGAAGCGTCAGCAAGAAGACCGAGATCGCGAGGCGATGGAAAATCTGTACCGCGTAAACGACACACGGAAGTTCTATGAGAAGCTAAATAGTTCGCGCAAAGGCTACGTGCCGCAAGCAGATATGTGCAAGAACTTGGACGGTAACCTTCTCACGAACGAGTGTGAGGTGATTGAGAGGTGGTAGCAGTACTATCAATAATCAATACGAAACTATCGATTTGAAATTGGCTCACTACTTGACTAGCCTATTGGTCCCAAGCAAACGATTAACGTACACGGATAGAAATCTCCTTATACCTTTTGGCAAATTTCTATTGCTCATTATTCATAAAATGTATAAGTCAACTAATAAGCAGACGCCTTGCAAAAAGTTAATGAAGAGCATGTGTCAAATGAAATGTATAAGCGGTCACACATACCTTGTATGCATTCGTATAGGACCTATGTGATTTGTCTTATGGAATGTATAAGGCTCATGTTTTGGCAAAAATGTATAAGTGAAACACATGGATACAAAAATTGATTTTCGTTCGTGTATCAAATTCTAGTCGGAATTCTAGTACTACACTGTGTTTGTTTTGATTATCTATGAATGTTTGACAGATAAAATGAGGGGTTCGTGGATTTTCCCATGTTTCGAGGGGTCCATCGATTAGCTTGGGACCGAAGATAGTACCAGAGCTGAGCCAATCAGTTGAGCACCAATCTTCGGGACCTTCTGGTCTTAGAGTTTCCTCTATGGTACTATACCAACAATCAATACGAAACTAACGATTTTAAATTGGCTCACTACTTGATTAGCCTATTGGTCCCAAGCAAACGATTAACGTATCCCATTCTAGTCGAAATTCTAGTACTACGCAATGTTTGTTTTGATTCGATATGAAAGTTTGACAGATAAAATGAGGGGTTATTGGTTTTTCCTAGAGTCGGTGTATAATGAGTCACGCCAAGAGTGAAGCCAAGTCTACCTATCGAACTGTCAAACCAGCTACCTATCGTGCAAAGTAAACAAACATTACGATGCTATGAAAGGTCCACGAAAGGTATTGCAATAAAATATAAAATAGGGGAATTTACGTATTCTCGTCAATCTAAGCAGCGTCCGCACTTCTATTAGCATTTTGTCAGCGTTACGCACATATATCACGTGTCTGTTTGTTAACATTCATCTGCTGCTTGCTTCTCTATCCATTCCAATCGACAGAATTTTTCAAACCGGTTTGAAAGCGATTTTACAACGCTCCAAACTTCTCAGGTGAGTGTGACTATTGTCGGCAGCCTCTTTTTCTTCGGCAACCTTCCCATTAGAACTGCGTGTTAACCAGCTGTTCTATTATCGGCAACTCGAAATCAGCCCCATTTTGTAGTGCGTATACTTCATTTGAATAAAAATCTGGCATAATAGGATTGCTCGGTCGTACAAATATAATCAGATTGAAGCTGAAAGACTAAAGAATCGTTTGAATACATTCAGGGAAGTGTGTTGATGGGAAAACATAGTGAAATTATCGTATAAATTTTGGTTGCCGAAAACAGTCAATGGGTGCCGAAGTCAACATTTACCCTATAATCGAAGAAATGATTATAAACACGCAGTGAGCATTCAACTGTCATGGGATACGTTTGGTAATGATCAGTAATGAGAATTTCTACTATTTTTTGTTAAGATAATTTGACAAAATCAGTGATATAATGATTTACTACAGCCGCTATTATTTTTTCTCGCTAGAAGTCATTTGAAGTTGATGTAGAAGTCCTCTGTTGCCAAGTTAAAAGAAAGGGAATCTTTCGAAAGCCGTGATGCGAGTTCAACTGTTTTTCTCTTGGCGTGACTCATTATACACCGACTCTAGTTTTTCCTATGTTTCGAGGGGTGAATCGATTAGCTTGGGATCGAAGAGAGTACCAGAGCTGAGCCAAAAAGTTGAGCACATTATTTCGGGACCTTCTAGTCTTAGAGTTACCTCTATGACTATACTATCATAGAGGTAACTCTAAGACTAGAAGGTCCCGAAATAACGTGTTCAACTTTTTGGCTCAGCTCTGGTACTATCTTCGGTCCCAAGCTAATCGATTCACCCCTCGAAACATAGGAAAAGCCAATAACCCCTCATTTTATCTGTCAAACTTTCATAGCGAATCAAAACAAACATTGCGTAGTACTAGAATTTCGACTAGAATGGGGTACGTTAATCGTTTGCTTGGGACCAATAGGCTAGTCAAGTAGTGAGCCAATTTAAAATTGTTAGTTTCGTATTGATTGTTGGTACTATGACGTGCACCTTAACGGTGAAGCAGCAGAAAACAAAGGTGGCACGGCAACAGACCTTGGAGCACGCGCAGAAGACGACAGGCTACCGGCCCCTGATCTTTAAAAAGTTGAGGAGGAGCTCGGTCGGTTGAAAAACAACAAAGTAACTGGTGTAGATCAACTACCAAGTGAGCTATTAAAATACGGTGGTGAAGCACTGGTTAGAGCGCTGCACTGGGTAATTGCCAAGATTTGAGAGGAGGAGATATTATCGGAGGAGTGGATGGAAGGTGTGCACAATCTACAAAAAGGGCGACAAGTTGGATTGCTGCAACTACCGCGCGATCACACTGCTGAGCGCCGCCTACAAAGTACTCTCCCAAATTCTATGCCGCCGCCTGTCACCATTAGCAAGAGAGTTCGTGGGGCAATACCAGGCGGGATTCATGGATGCCCGCGCTACCACGGACCAAATTTTCGCGATTCGGCAGGTTTTGCAGAAATGCCGCGAATACAACGTGCCCCCACATCATTTGTTCATCGATTTCAAATCCGCATACGACATTATCGATCGAGATCAGCTATGGCAGATTATGCACTAGTACGAATTTCCAGATAAACTGACGCGATTTGTCAAGGCGACGATGGATCGAGTGATGTGCGTTGTTCGAGTATCGGGGACACTCTCGAGTCCCTTTGAATCTCGAAGGGGGTTACGGCAAGGTGATGGACTTTCGTGTCTGCTGTTCAACATCGCGTTAGAAGGTGTGATCAGAAAGGCTGGGATAGACATGAGTGGCACGGATTGGACTTGCCATTAACGCATCAAAGACAAAATACATGAAAGGAAGAGGTTCTAGGGAAGACAATGTTAGCCTCCCACCCCGAGTTCAGATTGACGGTGACGAAATCGAAGTGGTCGATTAGTTCGTGTATTTGGGCTCACTGGTGACCGCCGAAAATAATACCAGCAGAGGAATTCAAAGACGCATTATGGCAGAGAATCGTGCCTACTTTGGACTCCGGAGGACGCTCGGGTCGCATAAAATTCGCCACCGCACCAAGTTGACTGTCTACAAGACGCTGATTAGACCGGTAGTCCTCTACGGCCACGAGACCTTGACTATGCTCGTGGAGGACGAACACGCCCTTGGTGTTTTCGAACGGAAGGTGTTGCGTACCATCTACGGTGGAGTGCAGATGGATGACGGAACGTGGAAGAGGCGAATGAACCACGAATTGCACCAGCTGCTGGGAGAACCGTCCATCGTCCACATTGCAAAAATTTGGCGACTACGGTGTTCTGGGCACGTCGCAAGAATGCTGCACGACGACCCAGTGAAAATGGTACTAGAAAGCGACCCAACAGGAACAAGAAGAGGCGCGCAGCGGGCAAGGTTGATCGACCAAGTAGAAGGTAACCTGCGGACCCTTCACAGACTACGAGGCTGGCAAGCTGTGGCCATGGATCGAGTAGAGTGGAGACGACTTCTTCGGACAGCAGACGACAGCAAGGCCTTGGCCTGATTGGTAAGGTAAGTTTGATGTAATGAGGTTCCTCGGAGCAGCATGGATTCATATAATATATCTGGACATCTTACAATACTTTGCTGAGCCTCTAGAATATCAGGGCTAGACCGGCCCACATTTATATGAGGAAAAAGGCCTTAGCCTGATTGGTAAGGTAAGAACAAAAGACAGCAAACCGCATTAATCTATTTTTTGTAAAGAGCAAAACATTTAAGATTTTTTTTGTGACAGAATAAATTTGTCACGGTGTATTGTAGATATCGCACCTGATTAGACTCCTGCGCTAAAACATGTACACAGTAATATTTTCGCACTGGTCATAAAACTTAAATATTGAGCTTCATAAGTTGTCTATAGCTCGAGTTCATTAGTGCAGCTTTCCAGTACAGTTCTAAAGCTGCTGCTGCTACTGCTTTCAAATAAGTCGATTTTTCATTTGTTTTGCATGTGCGAAAATATTACTGTGCAATTATTTTTTGCATAGTAGTCTAAAGTGGTGATGAGCCAGAGCATTCAAGGAGGGCAGTCCATAATGCACCCCTGGGGTAAAATGGCCCCGTGTAGATTTTCGTTGCTTTCCCATTACTAATTCTGGGAATTTATGTTACTGAACTAGCAATGCAACTCGTTAAATTCACCAATTAACAATTAAAAATAATGCGAGGCAGGGGTACGTTATAGACCATTCTACCGTACATTTGGAATATAGAATTAGAGAATAAATCTGACGCTGATATGTTTCTATTAAACAAGACACTTGAACCTATTTGCCTTAAACATATTTCATAAAAATATGACAAAAAAATACCCATCGCGATTTTTTTTAAATTTGAACAGGTATATTGAACCAAAGCTGGTAATGTGTGTGGTGTAAAATCCAGGTATTTTGGTAGTCGAAAATTGCCACTACCTGTCGAAGCCATCATTCTTGATTGTGATATTGGAAAGAAAAACATACAACATCTTTTATTACAAGTTTATTTCATAATTAAAACCTACAATTGACCTCTATGTCGTGTTCCCGTTAGATTTTGCTATTGAGGTAATTTACTGATACTGATCTCGAATCCTCGTGAAGAAGGTCCCGTCTTAAATTGGTCCCAGTTGACAGTTCATAAATAAATAGATAAATAAATAGGAGTTTCACAGTTCTATCCTACTAGTTACAATGTTAGTACTAGAAGTATAAATAATGTCGTCACAATGATTTAAATGTTTAGATTTTGCTGTGCATTCGTCGACGGTGCATACACTGAAACCGGTGCATCCCGAACACATCGAGAACAGCGATATTTTTTGCGTGCGAGCATAGAAAGAAGAGAGCGTGAAAGTGTTTTTCTTCTTCAATTTATTAGTGTTACCTCATTTATCCCTAAAACTCCTCTCTCGCTCTGTTGTTTCAGCTTCATTGATATAACGCGATAATCACTGATGAATTAGCTGTTTCTCTTTAGTTATTTTCTCCAAATTTTTGCATTTCATCCTATTCGGCATTGGTTGCCTGCAAGTACATTTGAATTATCGTATTTGCTGCTGCTGGCTAAGCCTATCTTAACTCTACTACTACATTTTCGATTATTTTCTTCATTTTTTCTTCAGCTTGCTATATATCATTATCAGTCTAAAATTACACGTAATTTAGCGAATTATAACAACTATACAAGTGTCTGAGGAGAGGGGATTGGTTCGGAATTTTACTTGTTGTTGTTTATTAGTTAATTGGTTTATCAAGTATCTAATATTAAGTTTAGCTGACTAGCTTCTTTTATGTTTTCACGCATATACTTTTCCTTGTGTTTGAATTCGTTTTGTTGATGTGGATTTTTGAAAACTGCAGAAAAATCTAGAGATGTGAAGGGTACAGGAAGCTTAATCGCGCCCAAAGATTTACACTTAACATTAGATACTCAAGAATGTTGCGGTTTTCTTTAGTAAAATCTAGCTTTACTATGTGAGATTTTTATCACTGTAACCTCAAAATGCATTTTCTCTTAATCAACTGGCAGACAACGTTGTTGACAGTTGTTTTCATTGGCAGATGTTTGTTTCGGTACAAACTTATGCCAAAAAGTTAGAATCCAAACATTTAAGTGTTACACTCATTCGTTCACTTTCTCTTCTTTCTCTTCGCTAGCGTTTGCTTTTTCTACTAATGGTTCTTCTGTGTTCACTTCGCTTGATGTCGTTTCGGTAATTGGATCACCGTTACTTCTTCCTTCAAGTTCGTTAGTATTTTTTGCAGTACTTTCTTCCATATCCCTTTCACCACCTAGTCCAGTCATTTCGGTATTGTCATCATAATCCTGCGTTAAATTGTCGAAAAATGCTTCCAAACTGTCAAACAAAGGTTTCTTCTCAGGTTCCTTCGCTGTTTCGTCCATCGCTGGTGGCTTTTGCTTATTCTGTAGCTCGGATTCATTTTCATGCGCAATTAGGAAGGCATTTCGAGACTGAGGATCAGGGTTCATCATTTCACTTAATTTAATATCTTCGGCATAGATTGGTCGGAAACCACCTTGCAATTCGGGTTGAAAGCTACCATTTTCAAGCGTTTTCTTAGTGGTTGAATCATTCGCATCATAGTGATGGTCATCTGAGCGATCAATTTTGCTCTGTTCTTGGATTAGTGCCTGTGGTGACGACGTTACAACGGCCCATCCCTCGTAAGGGTTGGTGACCTTTACGGGATCCAGACTAATGCTAGCCTGGAACGGAGCCTGGAAGTTTTGTTCGTACCGATGAGCAGGATTTCCAAATTCATCCAAGTCATCTATCTTCAGATAGGAGACTTCGGTTTGGGTTTCTCCGTAAGGTGAATAGTAAGGAGACTTTTGATGTTTGTTGTAGTTAAACTTCTGAGAAGATTCCGTTGGTGTATAGGCAATAGCGATCGGTGTGCTTTCGGCGATGCGCTGTAATTTGCTCGAAATGACGGAGTCCTCTGGTTGTTCCTTGCTAATTGGCTCTTCGCCAATATTGTAGATAGTATCTTGTTTCTTCTCTATCGCCTGATCTGGGCCACGGTGCTTTGATTCATGATCCATTCCGACCAAAGCATGTGGGTCAGGTTTTTCAATGTTGTACGGAAAATGCAGTTTTGGATGGTGTTTCTTGTCCTTTGCCATCAAAATTGGTTCCTGTTCAAAATGAGAGGCAATCGAGAAAGGTGTATTTTGATATTCGCTTCCTGTGTTAACCTTAGCTGCTGGAGGTGGTGACAAAGGTGGTTGTTCACCGTGATGACCTACCACAACGGGGTCAATACTGCTACCAGCATGAATTGAGTCCATCTTCATAGGAGTGCTCTTGACAGGATACACTACATAGACTGGATGATTGCCATCGGTACTTACAGCCTGTACGGGTGTGGATGGTGGTTGGCTCTCAATAGCCAGGTCGACCTTTTGACCCGATGGCAAATTGTATTTGGACTGTTCATTTTGCTTCTTTGATTGAAGCATTTGTAAAGTTACTACAGGTTCCAGCTTGGGTCGATGAGGTTTGTCTTCAGTCATTGTGTTCTTCAGAATAGTCGGCGGATCACGTTGGAACTCGTTGTTTTCGGATTCTTCTGGTTTGCGATTATGAACGGTCTTTTCTGGAGTTAGAGGAGCGTAGCTTTCAGCAAATCGAGATGCTGATGAAGGGCCTGGCGGTGGAGGTGGCTTCAGATTTGGCGGTGTTATGTGGAACACGCGATCTTTAAGCATCGGAGGTGGCAAACGATAATAGCGGCGGTTTTCATTTGGACCTTCCATATATTGAGGAGCAATGTTCTGAGGACGTCCAGTATTGATTCGGGACATGAATCTGGTTGGAACTGGAGCCCGACGAATTGGCAGCGTAGAAGATTGGGAATGAGATGTTGGAGGTTCCGGGAATGGTTTTCTTAGAGGGGGTCCACTGGGAGGGAGACTTTTAGCCGGTGGAGGAACTCTGAAATTACCGGCCTCTTTATGGTAAGGATTATGGCCATGAGAAATTTTTGCATTTGGACGGAATTGAGGTAAGATGTTAGGCAGTTGTAGAAGCGGACGAGAACGATCTCCTGGATATGGTCGGCGCTGGATTTCTTTGTACATAAATGGTGGTCCTTGAGCAGCAATCGGCGGGCGGGGCCGCTTGGAGAGTTGAGCGTTTTCTTGGCTTGATGGAGGAGTCAACTGTTCTGGAAGATCCAATGGGTAGTTGGAAATTTCATTTTGGTTCAAGGTTTCACTATTCGGCGTGTCAAAGACAATCCTGTTGGATACTTCGTGAAGAGTACTATCGATTTGTTCGTTCTTAGGGAATACAACCATAGAATTTGGACCCACACCAATTGGAGCCGAGTGTCCATTTGGTGGCAGCACTTCACTTTTATGGGTGCCGCTAATGATTGGTGCATTTTCGTATTTATCGTCGCTTTCATTAGGAAACCGTACGCTGGTGGTTTTGATAATGTCCTGTGGTTTAACCTGAACATTGACTGATGATCTAACCTGCACATTGGACGATTCGTTGGGTTCATCCAGCACTTGACCCATTTGGTATGCCGACGGGTGTCCATTGAGAGCAGCAGAAGCAGGATCCTGTGAAACTGAGCCGATGAAGTGTCCATCATTGGAACTGCCAACAGACTGTTGTGATCCTAAAACAAACGTGGCTGAGTGCTGATTGGGACTGATCACCACACTGTTCATGCTTGGGAGTGACCCATACTTAACAATATTTATTTGTGGCTGTTTTACTTCGTACTTTACGTACTGGTTTCCATAGTTAGTATCCTTTGGAGGGCTTTGAGGTCTATGTCCATTTGACTGATAAACTTCGTAGTGATCGTATTGGTCAGTGTTAGGTTTCTGTGGACGATGTCCGTTCGATTGTTGAATGTCATACTTGACATATTGATCAGTAAGATCGATAGATTGTTCAATCTTCGGCCCCTCCTGAGTGGGCTGCTGTTGCTGGTCCGAAATCAGCACAATGGCTGGTGGTGTAGTTTGTTCTGTTGTTTGAGCAACTGTGGTTTCGAAAACAATTGTATTTTCCTTCTCAACAGCGGCTACTTGCTTATCATCCAAGCCGAGAGAGTTAAATATATCAGACAGAGACATAACAGAAACAGCGGAGTCTTTTGGAAGTTCGATTTTATTACTAGAGTCATTTTTGCGGTTCAACATTAGTACATGACTCGGTGGCAGTGGTCGGAACGGTGCTGGACGGTTACCCTCGTACTTGAGCGCTGGTATGGTGTACTTGATCTTATGGGTTGTGTCCTCTTCGGGTAAGGATTGCTGATGATCCTCGACAAAGCGGATTGGATTTGCAGGACGGGATTGGGTTGTAGGTTCAAGAGTAGTGGTTATAAATTGAGTTGAAGATGGGTTTGTCCATGGACGGACAGAAGGTGAATAGTAAGTTGAAGAACGGACGGGAGTTGTTTGTGGTTCGGTAGCCAGTGGTCTTTGTGTGGTTGTTGTGGTTGGCATAGATAGTGTCGATGGCAAGAAGAATTTTTTACGTGTTTCAGTCGTTTCCAGATACTTGTTCTTAATAGTACTCTTGTAAGGGTATCTTGTGAACAGTTGTTTTGCTGGCATTGTTGTCGTCGGAAATTCAGTGGTCGTTGTGGTAGTCGTAGTAGTTATCGGTCTTCCTGACGTAGTGGGGTATGTATAGCGCGACGATGGTAGCGTCACATGGGAAATTGTCGAACTCGGTTGGCTACGGGTCGTATTGAGTCTAGTAGTTGAGTACTGTGGTCGGGTAAACTGAAACTTTGGTGCTACTGTCGTGGTAGAAGGTGCCGATGTCGAATTTTTGTGATTTGATACTTTGTTACTACCCTGGTATTTCAAATTTGCATAAGAGCTTGAAATTAACGGGTAAACAAAATTTGCTGAGGAATATTTTACCGGTAGGTTCAAGAAATCGTGAAAATTTGGTGAAGATTGACTAACGATCACGTCTTTTGTATCACTGACGTGACTGTCCTTGTTATCGTAGGATCCTTTGTCATCAAGATCAATTTGATTCAAGGTTTTCTTATGATTGAAATCAATTGCACCGGTCGAAGGATCACGCTCGACATAAAACGGTTTACCCCCATTGAATACATTCGACGGTAAAACAGGACCTCCATAGACTTCTTCGTCCATGATGGACTCCTCGGCCATTAAATCCTCTAAATCATCATCGAAGTTAAACGCATTGACCATGGATCCCGCGTATAGTACCAGCAAAAAGGTGACACCTATCGGCAGTAGCCGATTTCGTTTCCCCATCTTGAGATGTCGCTGACCCTGAAAATAAATAAGAGAGGAAAAAAACTATTGTAACGACATAACCGAAAAGCGCATCGAAATTACGTAAATAAGTAAATAATAACATCGCTTGAGTGGTTTTCCCGATCGAGGCAGCGTTTTTGTTTTTAATTTGCCATTTTTCTCACTCATGTCCTCACGACCTCAGCTTCAATTTATTTAATGAACAATTTTCGCTTCTTATCTCATCCGGACCGATCGCTGTGAATGAACGTGAGATGCTTAACAGCCGCTAATCAATTGAAAAGTGCCGTGCTGTGAGTTCAAAAAAGGAGAGATACCGACTTCGACGCGAGCAAACTGGGAAAAACAGATTGGAAGCAGACAAAACTTCAATAACGTAAATACTGTGGTAGAAGGGTGCACTAACTAACGACATAAACAGAAGTACACATTCGTCGTTAGTTTTTCTCATAAGATACCGGCTGCTTGTCATTTGAATACAAACCACTAAATACCTTTCAACAAATGATTCCGGCCGGTTTTCGTTGCTAACTTGACATGCCCTCACGTGCTGGAATATTAACTTGTGTGCGTTTCAAGTGTGATTGCTACGGTGTGAACCCCTGAATGAGTGTGAAAAGTCCGTTTGTTTTCTCTTTCATCGAGTGGTGGGGTGGCTTGCGGCATCAAGGAAAAGTGCATTGTTCACTGCTACGCGGGAAAAGATAAAAATTGTCTTGTCGAAAGAGAGCGAAAGTGCGAAAAAAATCTGAAGCAGACAGTCAGACTAAGTGGTAACCAAGCAATCTGTTGGTAGTTAGAGAGGCTGATTGCACAGTGGTTCAGCTAAGTACAAAAGTTGACCAACACCTCAAAAGTGATTCCAGTCTATGCAAATGGAATATCAATGTATGAGTCATAGAAACATTCACGAGCAGCTAAAACGTGATTATGGTTTGAGTTTGAGATGGGTGGCCCAAAATTTTTCAAGCAATGTTTCACTTTTGTTTGAAACAAATGTAGTAGAAGTTCTGGACTACAGCGGACAAGCAAACTTTTCCAGGATGCATATTTTTTGTAAAACACCTTTACAAGATGTTTTTCTAGACGCAATGCATTTGGGGAAATCAACTATTTAGGAAAAATAAACAAACATAAAAATATCAAAATTATTTAAATAAAAAACTTTCAGCCACCATATTACAGAATCTGTTCATGCTGCGAAACATTGCAATTTATGCACACTTTTCATACAAATTTGCAATAGAATCTTACATTTCCGGGTTGTATGTATGATACACCTATGTAAAATTGATTCCCAAAGATCTCAGCGTTATATTGGCAGGTGTGGAGTGGAAGCAACCAGTTTGACAGTTATCACAAATGACAGCAAGGCATTTTCCCGCGAACGATAAAGCTCCTCAGTTCTCTTCTATCCGATTGATAGGCTTACACAAAAAGGAGATTTCAGCTACCACTACATTGAATTTTAAGCATCGTGTCAAAAATAAAAAAATAAAACTAAAACTTAAAACGTCGTTCAGCTATATTTCGGTCACTGTCATTTTTGTCCACCATTTGTTTGTTTTAACTTCAGTTTGAAAAAGTACATTTTTTAATTTTAATACAAACAAAAATTTATACTTAAAACCTTCAACATCATCATCATGTGATGTAAAAAAGCTCAGAAACATTTCTTCCGAACAGTTCGCAACGTTTGAAGCACTCTGTTCATCATTATTGGAGCCTAACATTGAAATTAAGCTTTATGAAACTGCTGTTAACGGTATACTTGAAAGTCTATAGAAAAATAAATCTTGATGAATTCTCATAATAATTCTGATTTAGGTTCTCGAAATATGTTAAAATGCTTAAAAATATAGCCTCTTTCATTTCTGAGGTTTTAGCCAGCCATAAACCACTGTGGATTGGTTTGCGGCATTGAGGAAGTGTACAGTCAAGTTCAATGTTTCGGCACTGCAGCGATTGTCTTTTTTGGTTTATATTGTTCATCAGCCAAATGAGAGCGCAACTATGTGAAGATTGTTGGCAATAAACTTGTTTGTGTCCAGTCGTTTTCTTAATGATCATTAAAGTAAGATCAGCAGTTCTATACCGACAGACGATTGGATCTGATTTCAGGAGGTCTGTAAGCTCAGCATCCGTCATTTTCTGATAGTATTTCGCATGTTAACGTTTGCATAACAAGTATATAATTTTTGACCGATTTTTTATTTGTGTTGACCTGTCACCTAGCTGTCATATGTTTACTGTTTACAGTCCAATTTCGAGAGTGATACCAGACCCCTTTCACTCTTTGGAACTTATAGAGACAGATAACAGCGCCAAACGGTTTGTGACGAGACAACGTTGAACTGCTGCGTTGGAAGAAAACACGCACACCAACATCTATACATGTACGAACCCACACAACTGAGCGGACGATACAGCGCAAATCAAAACACGAAGCGGTGTCATCTCTCATAGTCATCATTCAGCTTTAGCTACTCCCGTTTGCGTTTGTTTTAAGCGGCTTTGTCAAATACTTTATACGTTAAAAAAATAGGAAAGTAATGTTTATTCCAACGTATTTTTTGAATAGAATGCGTGCTGCGTTGGCCAAAGAAGACGGCATATTTTATTACGTTTAGCAATGATGTAGATACGTTGCATTTCCAGTGGCAGTGGAGTAATTCTTTAGAGAGAGGGGAGAGGTTTTTCCCATGTTTACTTATATGCTTATTAAGATTATGTTGAATAACAGCTCCACAAATCATCAATTACTATTAGAGATTTGCATCTTACTGATACCGGTGGTATATTGGAAACTCTTTCGCTCGAAAGCAAAACATATTACAAGTACATCATGATGCGCGCTTGGATGTGTGATTGTCTTTTCAAGTGTTTCTGTTGCGTTTAAAGTGGTAATGATTGAAAATCGAAGCAATCACAAAAAAGTAAGAATCTTGCTATCGCAAGATGATATCGTCCTCTTCCCTCGGCTGATCATCAACGTCCGCGTTGACATCTGTCATGCTGACACTTGTCAGTTATTGAGCCCTGGTGGTAAATTTGACGGGGAACTCTCAATAGTTTCAATGCGCACTCAACCAATATGCCTTGTATGAGGAATTGATTAGTGGGATATCTGGTTAATTAGATATCTTTGGTGATACGCATTGTATTGCTGTAGTTATGGTCGAAAAAATAATGAAAACACCTGGCGTTCAACTCTCAACTCCAATTTTAAATTTCCCTGTGGAACAGTTTTTCAATTTTCTATTTCTGAGATATATTTAGTAAAAAAAAAATCAGGTACCGTTTTTATCTTTAAGATTTTTCTGATTTTTTTAAACCAATTGCATCAAACCAGGGTTGGTTCCATTCACTTGCTATAAAAACATATTTTTCGGAATTATGCAATGATTAGATGATATAATGATATGTTGTACTTGTAAGTAACGGGAAGAGGGTTTAAAGTATGTGTTTGACTCATAATACCTGTCAATTTTGCTTTCAGAGCGTCACAATAAGCGATCTTATGATTCGTGAGCGTTCACTCAGAGTGAGCACTCACGAGTCGTAAAATTGCTGATTGTGACGCACTGAAAGCAATATTGACAGATTTTATGTGTCAAACACATACTTTACGTCCTCATCTTGTAACTTACAAGTACTAATTATCACTATACCATCTCATGATTTCATAATTCTGAAAAACATTTTTTTATAGCAAGTGAGTCGAAGTAACCCTGCATCAAACTATGATTTTTTTTTTGTATCGAAGGAGGAAAACATACGACCGCGTAAATTTGGACTTATGTACATCCATTGTGAAATCTAGAAAGAAGCAGCAAAGTTTTGCCTCAAATGTCCCGGGTTATATAAAAGTACCATGCAGAAAATATGCTGTATTTTGACCAGAACTTCCATTCCGTTCCATTACGCAAGAAGGACGATACATGAAATCGAGCGTATATCGATACCTGTAATACCCAAGGTTTCAACCCTCCCTATGTTTCTGAACTACGTCCAATTGAAAATTTCTTTAGTTGGAGATGCTTAACGTCAATACATATAGTCAATATCAGACTTATGAACATTTTATACGATAGGTACGAATTGGTACATGAGCGAATCGGCAATCATTCATTTTGCTAGTGTGGGAAACCATCCCTCATCAACGGATGAGTTTGGTAAAGGGAGTGATCTATTCGATTCGTACCTTCCTCAAAATTATCCTTTGCTTGCTTTCTACTTTCTATTTGCACACTACCGTACTATAACGGAACTATCAACTCTATACTTTCACCTCCTCATATATCGTTCATTTTAAGTATGATGTTGACGTTAAGCACCTCCAACTATGTAAATCAATAACTACACGCATGAAGTAATAAAAGCATAATTAGTTAAAGTGAAAATTTCTGCTCAAATCCCAACACTAAGATCTATTCCAATAACTTTGTGACAAAAAATATGGAAAGATCTTCAAAGGACGGTCAACTAGCACGAAATATTTACTCGAATTCGTCAACTATTAATTCAAGAGAAAATTTTCATTATGTCGAAAGTAACATTAATACCGATCCGAGAAAAGTAAAGCTTTATTTTGATGACCGAAAAGTTATTCCTATTTCCAATTAAACACATATAATCTCATAGTGATAACAATGTTTAACATATTAAGCAGGGTTTTAATCACACAAAGCAGATCGCTAGGTTTCATGCTAAAAATACTGGTTTTTGAGTCAAAAGTTATTATACGTCGTTTGGTGGCCCCCTAATGTTACTTAAGTTAAAGTGTATTTACCAGGATATTCGGAAGAATTGTCAATCACGTCTCCTTACGTGAAGCCCATTTATAATTTTAGGACCAACAAAATCATCTTAGTAACAAACAGTTAGATTTATTCACTTTAATAATGAGAAATCTAAAAGACGAATTTACACTTTTCACGGGTGTCTTTGCACTGTTACTCAAGACAAACGGCATCTCCATAGAAATCGGATGACTTAAGTAGCATCGACAAATT